AACTGATGGTTGTCACTTTAAGTTAATCTTTATAAAATGATTAATAACTTATTTTCACAGCTTTAAGAAGACAAAATCTTGACGCAAATTACGTAACTATAGTTTATGCCCAAAGATGAAAGAGGCATGTTGTCCGTACAAAGAAGGAGCCATCAGAAACCTGTCGTATCTGTCCAGGAAAAAGCGACTAAAGGCTGGAATACACTACATTACTTTTAAAATTTGAACAGATTTTTAAAACACCAGGCATCATTCGCTTACCGACTTTGTAAATAGTCACAAAGGAATAGTCACAGAGTTCTAAAATCGGCTGAAAATATCAAACATGTTTGATATCCTCTGACTGGATGGATTCATAGTCTGAAGCTAAAAAAATCAGAGTCTGTGACCATCATACACTACGTGATTTTCTATGAAATCAGTCAACTCAACTATGCAGACTGGCTCTGACCTTTGGCAACTATAGTGGCAAAAATCGTGTAGTGTATTCCAGGCTTAAGAAAATATAAAAAAGTTGACATCCATTTAATTAGGCTAGTTTCTGTGTTCATCCCCATGAATGAAATGTTTTATTGGTTTGTTTTGTTATTTGATTTTTGAATATGTTACTTAGCTGAATGTGGACCAGTCTAGTTGTCGCAATGTGTTTGAATGACACTTCACTATAAATATATAACTTATCAAAATTGAATGCCTTGTTTTTTTTTTGTTTTTGTGATTGACTCTGTACCTTCAAATAAATTTTTTTTCAATTATTCTTTAAAAAGGTTGTTTAAAATAAACAAGAATGTTTTAATAAAACATGGTGTGAGCTTATTGGGAACAGGAGTGTGCTTAAAGGGTACAAAAATGACTTTTTGCATTTCTGTCTGGACCAATTTTGTCAAAGATGATTGACAATTAGCATACAGTTTGGATTGGCGGTATGGTTCTGTTCTGGGCAAGAACTCCCTGCGCATCCATGCAGCCTAGCATGGATGAGAGCAGCGATCCCCCCCAGGGTAAACAGAACAGAACCAACATCAATGTATTGCAGATATCGTTAAAGTACAATGATGTTATGTACACATTTTAGAATTAGTCTGATTCAAAGAAGAATCAGAAGGCTGAATCCCGACTGACAGAGGAGGAGCTGGGGATGGAGGAGGGTAATTAGCTATTGAGCAATGCGAAAACTGCTGATAATACTGAGGGACCTTATATATGAATGCTTAGATAGGTGTCGTATTCCCATAGGTTGATGGGGATCAGCTGAAAGTCAGCTGATGCGAGCTTGACTAACGTGACCTGCCAGAACTAACGCTACGCTAGATGTAATGATGTACATCTTAATTGAAATGCTTTTATCATTTAAAATAAAATTAAATATTGTGTGAGAGATTAATATTTTATTTTAATATAACTTCTTGTACTGAAACCGATATCTTGTGCACTAAAAATGTCTCAATGTAGATTTTGGTGAGCTTAATAGGTACGTTTACCCCTAAGCTTTGCGATGGCAGAAATAATAAATGTCCAAAGAAACAGACCTGAATAGATTAGTTTTTGACCGACAGCTGGAAAAGCATCTTGCCCCTTTTCTTCCTCTATCTTCTCTTTAAGAGCCTTTACCTGTATTTACAAGGACATAATTTAATCAGAAACATCTTCACAATTCAAATTTATGTTTTCAAGGACAAAATAAGAGTCATGAACTGTATGATTATGAAAGCAGGCAACTAATGGTCATGTGCTTCCCAAATTTTCTTCAAGAGCAATAGATTCATATGGATTCATATGGGCACATGCTGAATTATGAAGTCATTTCATCTTATTGCTTTGCTCAAACACATTCAGACTTTTTTAACAAACCCTAAATGAATTCAAATACTCATTACAAAATAACACATTTATAAACACTATACATTTAAATAACAGAGACAAAAAGTTTTAAATAATAATAGTTCCTAAGGTAAATACAATCTACATCAGTAATGCATTGTCATTCTAGGAAAATAAGAAGCATGGCAAGCTGTTTTAATATTCATTCATAAAAACAAACTAGCATAACACTGTGTATTCCAATTGTAAGTAGCATTTTTAACTTTTCTAGTAAGATTTATTGAACTACAAAGTATTCTTACTAGTCATTACTTTTAAAAAAAGAGTAAATTAATCATACTAGTCACAGTTGGCATACATATTAATGTTTCTTTTATAAATACTAGTATCTATTGAATACAGATTAGTAAAGCTGGAATACATACTAGTAACTACTGGTATAACATATATATTTAGTTTTAATAAATAGTAAAATTATAAGAGGTACAAGCAATAAATAGCTGGTAGTGTATACAAACCCCCAAAGAGTTTAGTGGCAAAAATTAGCCATTTTTAACCAGTAATAACGCAATACTAATCACTAGTGGAATAGTGACAAGTACTAGTGTCTAATGAATAAGCCTTAGTGACTAACTATTGGGATAACTAGCGTTCTAGTATATAATTAAAAGTCAATATCAGTGAAATAGACAATATGTACTAATCACTATTGGACTACTTGCTGTTAATTAAGATAAGTAATAAGTAACATTAAAAAGACTCGTTAGTTTAAACGAATAGGTGTCGAGACGGCTTGCCACAAGACGAAGAGTGTAAACAGACCGTTAAAGTCAATCACGCGACAGTTATTTGAAAATTAACAGCCGTTAGAATGTGCGGCTCTGTGACGTCACCTGTTATAATGCAATATTATACAATGACAGCGACTGTCCGCCGCGTTCCACACGCAGCCACCGGAGGCCGCGGCGTTTCCCAGCGCGTCCTGCCCGCGTCCTGCCATGTTTACACGGGCACAGACACACACACTCACCGTCAGCTCCTCGTCTATCTGCACTTTGAACGTCTGCTGCTGGAGGGTCTTCAGAGTGATCGTCAGCATTGTGTTTGAGCGCGAAATACAGCCTCGCAAGTGTCCTCAGTGAGCGAGCGTGGAGATGTGACTCAGCTATCTTCAGGAGGGATGAGGCGCCTGTGTTATGGGAAGACGCCATCTACTTGCTGAATTGGACAAGACACATGGACACATGGACGTACAGTGACCCCTAAGAGTCTTATGAATGTCTGACTGGCATTATATGAGATAAAATACCTAAGCAACACAAGTTTCTAGAGCTTTCCTCAGAACTAGCTTCACTGGGTCCGTCAGTGACAAACTGTTGGAGACCACGAAAAAGGCAAATCTATATTTCTATAGAAATATCATTTTTATATACATGTTTGTTTTGAAAAACATTCACATCATTCTCAACAAAAGTCTTGATTTAATTGACTCAAGTATTGAGGACACATAATTGTGTATTGTAAATCAAGAGAGAATGTGTTTGTGTGTTTGTTTGAACAAATACCATGGATTTTTCTTGGTGTTTTACCATTTAATAACTTCAACTAACCTTGTCTTGTCAGGAAAAAAAAAAGTCAAATTTTCTGATTTTGTTAAGAGACTCAGTTTGAGTCTACAAGGGTCCCGTTTATGTTTTTTTTTGTCACTTGACAACAAAATGGCTCCTTGAATGTTTTTACATTATGCTGTGTATTTAAATGATGTAAACTATTATATTTTAAAACATAACTATTAGTGGTGCAACGGATCACAAAATTCTCGGTTCGGATCATTTACGGATTTTGAGTCACGGATCAGATAATTTTTCGGATCAGCAAAAAATAAAAAAATCCTTACTTTAAGTACTTCTATACCATAGCAAAAACTACTAGCTTAACTAATAAAGTTAGTAATAAAACAAGAACAATTACACAAATTACAAGCATAGATGAAAACAACAAATCACAGTTACAAATATAAGAATTTAGGTGCAGAAATATAATAATTAAGTTTAACACAATAGTGCTCACTGCACAAGTTAAATACAGATTAATCTTTGTTAGAGCTGTGGTGTTATTTGATTAGCAGACAGAAACAGGTATTTATTGGCTGCTGTCTCTTTAAGACCAAATGTACGGCCCTAATACTGACACACATCCGGTTTCTTTCTCACCCGTTTACGTTCCCTTAAGAAATAACCGACTGCGTTTAGTAGAATACTTGCCAAAGTGGGTATTTTAACATAACTTTGTGTGTATGTGAAAGAGGAATCAATTCGCTGTTCACACGGTGTCTCTCTCTCTGCGTGTGTGTGCTTCGGGTGTTTGCGGCAGTGGCTGAGCGCATAGAAAACAGCACGTGAGTTAAAATTGCTTTAGGCCTACATAAATACTACAGAACAAAGATACATATTAAATAAACTGCTTTTTAGGTCGGTTTAACAGTTTTCAGGTACAGAAATAAAGTAAACAAATGTAAAATAACACTTCACTGTATAAATTAAATACATATTAATCCTTCTTTATTGTAACAGACTTTATTATTATTCATCTTCTAATTTGTTTTTGTATACATTTTAAT